ATTCAAAAGTATTTCCTTCTCTTCCTCATGTTAACAAAATATCCTCTCTATTGTCCTCATCCTGTTTAACTTTTCATCTCTTCCACTTGGACATAAGCCATTCTATAAATCTACGTATCTGTGTTCCTCCCTGCAGATTTTGAGCTCAGACACAAAATGTGCTCTTAGATCCTCTGTCTCACACCTCACATCATTGTTTCTTAGACACCTTATAAGAAATTCATTATTAGAATGTCATACCAATTTTCCTATCTCAAGCCTAAATATAGATTACTATAAAATGCAAGGTAACATTAGAATGATTCAATTATATGTGCATGATAAAAACATAATCATGGTGTGTATTCACCAGGAAGCAGATATCTTTTGCTATTACAGTGATGAACCTTCCCAAGTTGTCCTCATCTTTACAAATGAGAGACTAGGTTTGTTGTACTGAGCAGTAAAGATACAGCCATTATCTATTTCAAAACTCAAAGCACATTCTTCTCTGCCTTTTTAAACTCAAACCTAAATGATGATCACTGCATTCTCTTGTTCTTTACCAAGTCAATTCCAATTTTAGCCCAACACACAACATTCAATCCACTCAACGGGCATTCAGTTGAAAAGCTGATCTATTGAAGTTTCTTAATTTTCACTTTTTAATGTAATACTACTTTTTATATATTTGTATTTCTGTAAAAAAAATGGTACTCAGCAGCCAGTCTTCTAAACTTTTGGGCATGTAAATAAGGTGTTTGACTTTCATGTGTTCTAGGTTGCTCTTGCTTCTGTTGAGTTGTTTTTCCAATTTCTATTTCCTGACATACACTATAGATATATTCAATATAAATCAATGCATGGTGGAGCTGCAGTATTTTCTTCCAAAGGACTTGCAGGCTTTTCTCATTCAGCTATTTTTTGTAATGTCCCAGTTTAAACGTTCAGATGCCTGTTTACATAGGAAGGGAAGAAGTTGCTCCCTGTTTTCTATGGATTTTAAATTATAGTAAACTGCCTTTGCAGAAGAAAACAGCACTAGGTTACTTAATAGAAATATTACTTCATGCTTTTCACTTTACAAGGCGCTCTTATTAAGGAAAGGCATCTAGACACATTGCTGAGAGTTCAGTGTTTCATCAGTTATAAAGGTATAGACTTCAAGAAATACTTATGGACTTGCTACAGTGCTTGCCCATCTACTCTCAGGCATTTAACTTTTCTTCTCTAAAATCAATTCTGCATCTCCCCCTCTAAAAATTGAGGATTATAATTTCATTCACAGAATTGCTCTGATTAATATATAATTCATATAGTATATATGTGTGTACTTGTGTAGGTTTTTTATACACACGAGCTCAGTTCAAAGGGGCAGTCAAGGTAAAGCCATCACACACATCTGCCTATTGAGAACTCACAGCTGGCATCACGTGTTAACACTGTAAACTGAAAAAGTTATCCTGCTGTCTTGCACTGTCTAGAATATAACAATTTTCCAAGTTTATTTTAACTGTACTAAAACACTGTGGTTTGTCCTCACTCAATGCTCTCCCAATACTGGTCTACTCTTATTCTTTCCAAAAGAAACTACAAAAGAAAAAAAAAAAAAAAAAAAAAAAAAAAAACCCAAGAGGCTTAATTTCTCTTTCCAAAATGAATCTGATATTTCTGCTTCCAAGTGTTCAGTCATTGTCACACCAACTCCAGCAAGAAGGAGAATGAAGTAACTAGAAACAGGCATTCACTTCAACTTTAACTAGTGTAATTTCTGTGCATTTCTTTTTATTATATCATGGTATATGGTTAACCTGGGGAGATGGATATAAAAACATTTAAATGCTCTAGAAATCTGAACTAACTAGACAGTACAGCCGTACGCCTGCTAGGCATACTACCTGCATAAGGACTTTACATTAAATAAAGAAGTCTACCTTAACTAAATGCAATGCATAAAACAGCTTGTAAAGAACTGATCTGACTGAAGAAAGGCTGATCTGATCTGACTGAAGAAAGGATGATTAAGGGAGTCATAGGGCAGCTTCTCTCCCCTGGAGCTTGAGCTAGCTGAAACTCCTGTAAGTAGTATTTTACTTGAGAAAAGCAAAGTTCAGGCTCTTTCCATTTCAATCCTGAGCCTCAGCACATGCCAAGAACTTAACTTTGATGTGGGAAAGTTGAAGCTGTAAAAAGGCAGGTATTAGACAAGGAAATGAGTTAATCAGATATCCCAGACACTTGTGCTTCCTGTAAGGATTGAATTAAATTACTTTTTGATTTTGAATTGCTCAAAGTAAACTGAGTGATATATGAGCTAAATATTTTGTCTCCCAAACCATACATTTTGCCTTTCTGGATTCAATATGGCCACTTAACTCACAAATCACTGCTATCTTTCAAGGAATGCAAAGGCCTTTTAAGAAACGCTCAGTATGTATGCACTGACATCTACTTCTGGAATGCACTTATAGACAAAAAGAAGACTTTGAAGTAATGTGAATAAAGATTTTACTGTCAAACCACAGAGATTAATTGCACTGTAATCCTGAATGTTTGCTGAAGTAGTGATCTTTTAGGACATTTCTTGAAGCTAACCATTGTTTTAATGTTATCAGATTTCGAATGCTTCATTTGTACACGTCCCTGAACCTTTGTTCAAAATTCTCATCTCTTACTAGCATCTTTATACAAGCCACTGAAGCAGATGCAATTAATTAAATGGACAGACATTTCATTAATGGTAGATTTGAAAGCTGTATGCTTAATACATAGTTATTCTTAAACTCATTATACCAGGCTAGTAGTATTCTCAGAAAGCACAGGAATTATAGCAATTTGCTAAACAGTTAAAGATGTTTTACAATTTAATGTCAAAGAAACATTCATCTCTACATGCAAAGTTTGGTGAAGAAGTAGTCTGTTAAGAAAAGTGAACTTGTCCTAAAAGTAGCTGATCTCTGCTACACCAACTTTACCCTTCTTTCTGGTTTGATTTTTTAAATTTTTTGTATTGCACATTTAAGATGCCACACTCTAATCATTACCCTCTCTTCATATTTTTTGTCATCATCCACATACAGTTTGCACAAATAAGTCTGTATATTTCTACTTGACAATCAAACCCTAAGTAAGCAATATTATTCTTTATTTTGCTCTCAGATCCAGCTGTACACAAATATCTTATGATGCACCTAACAGTACCAAAATATACAAGAAAAACCTTTACCTGCACTTTCCAAAGCTTCTACTTTACCAGCTGAAGAGGACAGAATTATTTTACTTTATTTTTTATTTTACGTTTAGCCTTCTCTTTCAAACCATCATTTTATTATTACATAGCAGGTCTGAGAAGTGGTTGAATTAATTCCATTCTATCTAATGGAACTTCTGTAAGGAGAAATTACTGGACATATTTATTTTAAAATTACTACAATATTCCTTTTGTAAGATCCCAAGTATATAAGATAACAGACCAGCTGGGTAGATATAATCTCTAATTTACAATATTTTCATTAGTACCCCAATTAGACTGCATGGCCACATGCTGCGTACGACAATATCTGAAAGAGCTTTGTTAGTACACGTCTGTGCTAACCTCCTACTGTTCCTATGCAATATCATCTTGCTCTGGCTGCTAATTTTGGAGGCCTCCCTTTTATAAAGGATTCTAAAAGTATGTAGATGCTTGGGAAAGTGATACGTATATTGGGAATAACATATTTTTGTTTTACTTCCAGGGCTTTATGTTAATTGAAGTATATGAGTAATTTGTTCTTTCATCTTACACTTGATCAATAATTTATCATTCACTATTTGATCTTCTGAAAAGTGAATCATAAATGGGATAGTCCAATCTAGAGCAATTGTGACTGCTGCTCACTGTACTTAGAGAAACAGAAAACCAAAAGCAACATATGTATCCATTACATGGTACAAGAACAAAACTGTGACAACTTTATGGAATTTAATCTGGTTTCTTTGATTAGCTTCTAAACACAGAATTATGTTGACAAAAGAGATGTAACATCCTTTACATTGGTAGCTAAACACATAACACCAAAGTGAACCTAACTTATTTACATATGGTGGAGACTGCTCTTTCTCAAACTCAGGCTATGCAAATAAGCAAGTCTCTACAATCAAAGGATGAAACACTGAGTGTTACCACATTTTGTCTTGACAAGAAGAAATGCTAAAATAAGGGTTTTTTAGATTTTACTAGATTTAACTAGTAAACCTATTAAGCTAACTCCCTTTAAAGAAAGGGAGGCTGACTACACCTTAGGAAGCCACATCTTCAAAACGCAACAAATACTACCCAACTGGAGGGGGCGAGGAGAACGCCAAGAGTTAGATTAGCTAGTTTGTGTTACTCTGCATTTGTATTTTATTTGCAAATCTATGACAGGGCCAATCTGATCTCAACTGCACATCACCACTTCACTTCCCTCACTTTTCTGTAAACCAGAGGATTAAGTCTACAACTGGTAAACTGCTTAAGCTTCAACCAACTTTAGTTGAATTTAATGCTCAAAGAACTGTTCAGACAACAAAACTACTGTCTCCTGAAGCTCTTCTTCTATTGGACTCCTCCAGCTTTCTAAAAATCAGTATTCATATCCTTCTGGATCACTTCCTTAACGCTTCTCATTCCTGAAAGTCTTCCTTTCCACAAATTCATAGACTAAGGCCAAAACAATTTCCATCTATGTTTTACCATAGGAAGTCAACCTCACTTAAAAATGCAACATTTGAAATATAAGTAAATTTTATTTATCTAGTATCAGCTTCCACCTGGCACTCATCAGCACTAGTACTTGCTCTGCCATTCATAATTCAATTGGAGAAAATGCTGTATGTGCTTTAAG